TAAAGTAAATCTCATAGATTACTGTATTAAAATATTAAAGGGTTTGGAATGTTTCTTGAAAACTTTTGTATGTAGGCCACTGAGATTTCAAGAAGTCAATAATATATAAAAATTCGGAATTTTTTAACTTTCAGCCAACATTATCAAGTATTCTGACCAGAGTTATGCTCTTTTTTTTATCGGTTTATTAACAAAAAAACTTTTATTTTAATATAACCCACCAAATGAACCTATGTATTGTTATAAGTCAAGTCAATAAATAACTGCAAAAGAATTTTAAAGAGGTATTTAATAAGCCTGAAAGAATTCTAAGGCTGTTTTCTATATTTTTTGTGTGTACATGAGAAATAACTTGTGAAGACGGTGAGATTTGGGATATTTCTCATTTTATTAATAACAATTAGTGACAAAATTTCATAATAAAATGATCAACATTGCACCCATTCATAAACGGATTGCCAATTAATTGTATTTTATTAGAAAAAAAAATCAATATCTTGTCAGGTTTCCCTTTACTTTTTAAAACGGCATCCACCCTTTGTGGCATACTATCTATTAATCTATTAATTCTTTCTGGGATAGTGTTAAACCATTCATCTTTTAATAAATTGAATAATTCTGTCTTATTTTTTGGTTTTGGGTTTCTCATTCTAAGTCTTCCTTTTAAATCCTGCCATAATTTTCAATAAGATTGAGGTCTGGACTTTGAGCAGCCAAGGGAGAACCATAATATTATTTTCCTTTTTCCATTGATTTGCTACAGCTTGCTTTATGACATGGTGCATTATCTTCTTGAAAAGAAGTTTATTATAACCAATTGCATTTAATTTACCTTCAACTAATGCTAATGGACCCATTTTTTCTCTTGTAAAACATCCCCAATGTAAACGTTCAAATAATTATCACAATTATTTACAAACATTTAGATATTTATTTAACACTGTTAATGAACTGATAATTTTATTATTGTAAAATTATATAAAAGTTATCTTTATTTGTTTGAATTTTACATCTTTAAATAATAAAAATACAATTCTTAAAATACAAATATAAATCATAAAGAAATAAATAAACATATAATCTATATATTGTATGGAAGCTTATAGACTTCCCGGAAAGTATTGATCATAATTAAAGATAACTTCTTAATTATAAATAATATAAATAAAAATAATAATATGATTATATTCCCCACAATATTACACAACAATATAATATCCACTTTTCTTAATAAAAATAATAATGATAATAATAATAATAATATGTATAATCCTTCACCAAAAATCCCGATTGCCAAGTAACTTAAACAATAAAAAAAAATATGAATTCCTCTTACCAAATATGGTAATAAAATTAAATGCCATTCGTGTGACATATGTATTATTTCGAATATTGTTACACGAACATACTATATATCTAAAATGAATTAAATGAATTACATAATGATTCTTTATTTAATCCCGATAATAATTAATACTTAAATATTTAATAACAATAATATTTTGTGGCTTTCTAGAATTTCATTACAGATGCTTGACAAATACAAATATCGCTAAATGAGATTGTGTAAAAATAGAAATCAAATCATAGAATCAAAACTTTAGAGAAATTAAATTATTCGATTGATTAGAATAAATGGAAAACCTAATTCTATGGAGATTTGCTAACATATTCAACATACCAATCTGGGTCAACATAGTAAACTGTACAACTAAAAAAAAGGCAAAAAATCCTTTTTGGAAACTCAATTTGATAAAATGAATCGTTCGAACAAGAAATTGTGTTACAAATAGAATCCCCTAAATATCTACGATCTGCGAATTAATATTAATATAAATTCTCGCTTTCATTTATTTCATTTCTCTATTAATTAAAAAAACAAAAAAACCCTAAAATAAAAATAAAACCAAATTTTCAATTAAAACCTCGAATTATCTAATTAAAGAACAAACAAAAAGATACAAATGAATCATCAAACGGATAATTTGGCCATCATGCTCGATACAAAAAATGTAAATGAAGGACTAACAACTGCTTGTCTTGGTATTCCACCAACGATCAGTGAAGTGATTGATATAATAAAAAATTCAGATGAAGGGGATGAAATTGAAAGAACTTATATAACAACCGCTTGTTATCGTTGTAAGAAACGTCATATAAGGTGCGATGACCAAAGGCCTTCATGTCAAAACTGTAAAGAAAAGGGTCGTGAGTGTATTCGTATTCAGCCGAAAGTTTCGTGTGGCCGTCCCCAAGATACGCTTAATGGACAGGGGAAATCCCTAAAAAAAAATACAAACAATGGAGCTAAGAAAACTAGAAAGCCTAGAAAAAAACCATTGATCAAATC